GGCCTCCCACTGCTATCGAGGACTTTTGCCCTGGTCCCACTCATCCCCAAGGCCATGCTGGTCAGGCCAGGCAGGAAAACAAGAGCACTGCCCTTTGCAAGAGGCTGATGAGCCACAGCCCGGTCCCTAAGAGGCCAGTGGGGCCACACAACCCAGCACAAACTGCAGACATGAGAGCAGGTTTTACCATCTGCAATTCATGTCCTGGCTTTTGTGTTTAATTTACATCAACTAAATCGCCCCAGGGGCTGGCTGGAGTCCTCCTTGCCATTGATGTCACTTGGTCTTTGAGCAGATGTGCAGCGTGCAGCAAATATTTGTGTTTAAGGTGTAAAGTTTCACTGAGGTGCAGGCCAAGAAACAATCTTCCAGAAGATGAACAGTTTCACTTAAGCAACGAGTAACTGTCCAAACTGCCAGATTTTGTAGTCCTTGATTCACTGACAGAGAGGATGGAATGGGCTCCAGCACGGGGATGTGGCAGCGCTCAACTCTGGCCTTTCACAGAGCTGTTTTGCTGCCTAAGGGCTACTTTTTCCATCTTGCCCTTTGTTCTTTGTTAGAAATTATTCTGATAGCTTAAGGCCTGCAGTGTGATAGCAAAAGTCTTTTCACGCCAGGGGAATCCAGGGAATAGCGACTTTCTAGTAGGGTTATGGTGAGCTGAGAACCCAGACTGCAAAGCAAGAAAATTTGCAAGAGCAAACGATGTCCCAGAGTAAACAGAAAGTGCTGTCAAGGTAAGAGGATGACAGATTTGGGGGATTTTAAGCTCAGACAAGGCAGCTTTGCTGCATCTCCTGTATAGAAAAGGTGGAATCAGTCAGTTAAACATACATCGCACATCTGAATCTCTTCATCCTTCTCACCTCCCACCCATTTCAGTGTTTTCCCAGGGATTAGTCCTGCACTGTAAAGAGAGTGACAACCCACTGACACCAGATTGGGCAGACCAGGCTTGCAATCCACCTTCCTCAGTCTCCGTAAGGAAGGGCTACACTCTGGGCACTTGGTTCCAGGCTCTGAACAAGAGCTCCTTTGGTCTTTTGATTTTGTTTCACAAGTGATTAATTTAATTAGTGCAACTAAGAAAGCATCTAACTGCGCTCTATAAATAGACCTGTGGGCTTTCACACAGCTCCTGTCTATGCCAAGAAATGAGTCTAATAATAACTGCTTAACGCTGAAGTTCGGGGGACGAGGGTGACTGTGCAGAGAAAACACCAGCACAACCTCAAACCAGGGACGGACACCAGCTGAGACAGCAGCACCAGAAGGTCTTAACAGCATTCTGCGGGGCTCCTGCTGGAAGTAGCTTCTTAGCAGCCACAAATGTAGCTTTTATGGAGCAGGAGGGACACACAGCCCAGCAAAACCCAGCTTGCAGAAGGGCCAAGGAGCCTTTTAGCCATCAGCAAGCAGAGCCTTTGGCTTCACTGGCTAAGGATGCCTGGAAGAGGGCGCCTCATTCCCACATGTCAGCCTCGTTTTGGGCATCCCCAAAGCCCTGCGCCCAGAGCGAGGTCATGAGTCAATCACCTCCCATCTGTCCATCCTTCCCGCAGCAGGACATGGTGGCAGCTGCTCCCACGCTGTCTTGCCATTCATCAAGTGGTTTGAGTCTTTGGAGACTAAAGCCCAGACCCCGAATGCTGTGTCAGTCTATCTGCTGCTCCTCTTGGTACCCTGCTGACCTGCCCAACACCCAAGCTGGACCTCCAGAGTGAGGAGGCACGAGGTAAGTCCCATGGTATCGTATCCTTGGGTCCTTTGCAGAACAGAGGGCCCTGGCTGGGAGGCAGCAGGGAAAAAAACACATCAAATCCTAGAAGAAAGCCACGCTAGACAGCAATAGTTGGGCAGAAAGGAAGGAGGGAGCTCCCTCGTGCTCACCAATCTGTCACACTTCCTTCCCACAGCACCATGGCTGCGCATCTAACTGCTTCCAGGCCAGGTGGGTACAGGGTATATATGAAGCTGAGTGCTAATGGTCATGAAAAATGCAGAAAGCCTTTTTGCAAGTCGTCGGCTTGCCAAAAGCCAAGGGAGCCCCAGTTCCAAGCTTCTGGCATCAGTCTTGTGGGACTTTAAATCACTTTGGGAGAAGCAGTTGTTATCTCTGGCTCTCCAGCTCTGAGCTGCCCCCAAGGACATGCATTTAGGGCCCTTTCTAGTCCTGATTTGCATCAGAAAAGCGAACACCTAAAATAACTTACTTAGATCACTGTCTGGTAAGTACCTGATGTGATTGCTAAGGGAATAATAAATTGCTGAAGAAGGGGAGGGAGGTTTGGATCACGTGTAGCACAGGCATCCCTGTGATCATCCTGCCTTGATATCACTGGTGGCATTAGGAGTCTCCTGGGGGGAGAATCCAGCCCCGAGCACAACTGGGCCAGCAGGTCTCCTGTGGGTGGCCACGGCAATGCTGGATGGGCGATCAGCAGGAGCCAGGAGTCCTCCTTCCCTTCGGGCGCCGGCGGCTCCGTGTGCTCATTGCTGATGAAGTGGTTCCGCATTCAGGCAGGACAGAGATTTCCTGATGGGGACATACAGGGTACAGCACGTGTCAGTCTTGCATGTCAGTCTTGCTGTGTCTGCTGGGGACAGCTGGGGGTCTTCTGGCCCTGGCCCAGCTCTGGGACCACTGCACGGGTATCCATGCCAGCAGCAGGGACTGGCAAGGACGGGGATTTTCCCTCTGAGTAGCACTGAGAGGATCCGGATTGTCTCCTTGCAGCAAGGACGTGCCAGAGCATTGCATCCCTGCTGCCAGGCAGATCCCGAGCTGAGAAAGCAAAGAAAACAACCCAAATGTTGCAATTATGCAACACCAAAGCCCCAGTTACAGTTTCCACCATTGCTTCAAAAGGGAACGCGGCCTTAAACAGTCACCTACCCCGAAAATAACAAGAGCAACACGGCTGGGAGGAACAACAAAAAAAAGCAGACAAACTGCTGATTGCAGCTGGCTGTCTGGCAAGTGCAGCGAGCGCTTGGAGCGCTGACGGCACCGGGAAGAGAAGCCTTGAGGACGAAAGGACAAAACTCTGCTCTGCTGTAAACAAATCGTGCGGCACCACGAAAACGGCCGGGCCCTGCGTGGCCAAGCAGTGCGGTGCAGGGAACACGAGCATAAGCAAGCACGTCGGGTCGGGGCTAAGCTAGAGCACCTCCTGGCACGAAAGGGAGACCATACCACAGGCAAGCAAAGCAGAAAGTCGTTTGCACCAAACCTTGGAGCTTTTATTGGAAAGAAATGGCTGTTATCCATGGAAATCACCTGCAGGTTTTCTGCTGCATTCTGCCTTGCTGCAAGGGAACATGTTGCAGCCTCGGGCCAAGGGCTGGACTGAGCAGCGTGTCCACAGCAGCATCTCTTGTGCCACATGCAAAAGCAGTGCCCTGGTCTCGTGCTAAATCCCCTCACTGTGCCTGTTCCAGCCTGCTCGAAAGACCCCTCTAGTCTTTTAAACTGCTGCATCTGGCAGTGAAGGGAGCCTGGGATCCCTGGAAGCCTGAAGGCACATTAAGAAAGAGGAGAGCAAGAGGGGCCACAGAATCACAGGAAGATTGAGGTTGGAAGGGACCTCTAGAGATCATCTAGTCCAACCCCTCTGCTCCAGCAGGGACACCCACAGCATGGGATACAGGGTGGCATCCAGGCAGGTTTTGAAGATCTCCAGAGAAGGAGACTCCACAGCCTGCCTGGGCAGCCTGTTCCAGGACTCTGTCACTCTCACATTGAAGAAGTTCATTGAAGAAGTCCATCTCACATGGAGATGGAACTGCCTGTGTTTCAACTTATACCCATTATTCCTTGTCCTATCATTGGCCACCACTGAGAAGAGTTTAGCCCCTTCCTCCCTACATTCTCCCCTCAGGTATTTGTATATGTTGTAAGATTCCCTCTCAACCTTTCTTTTTTTTCCAGGCTACACAGGCCCAACTCAGTCTCTCCTCATACGATAGATGCTCCACTCCCTCAATCATCTTTGTTGCCCTCTGCTGGACCCTCTCTAGAAGCTTCACACCCCTCTTGTACTGGGGAGCCCAGAACTGCACACAAGGTGCTAGGTTACAGGGAAAGAAACAACGTATTGGTCCTATTTTCAAGAGCCAGGATGAGCAAGGGGAAAGCAAGAGACCCTTTAGCACATCCTGATGGCCCCTGCCCTGCCATCTCGCACCTGCATGACCCACATAGGGGCTGTTAGCAGGCACCAGTTCCTGGTGGGGAGATGTAGGCAGCCCCCCAGACCACACCAGCAATGTGGGGTGGGCCTCCACATGTCCCCTATTTCAGGGGTGCCTCCCCTGAAAGTGGCACCTCCCAGGGGTGCCAGGGATGACACCCAGCTGCCAGGTCTGACGTGCCATTCCACGCAGCTCTGCATCGTGGTAACACCTTGGAGCATCAGTGCGTGCAGGGTTCCTGCCCAGACAAATGGTGCTCAGGGTAGCAGCAGCTCGAGCTCTTGCTTGTGGCCCGCTCCACCACCGCGCTGCTGCCGGACGCGTGGGCTGCCGAGCAACGCTGCGGTTATCGGCTCTGACACACTGTGGTGTCTAGGCCAAAAAGTGTCATCTCCCGCTTCCAGTACCAGCCCCAAATCCTCATCTCCAGTACAGTGGGGCAAAGGAGACAGCGCACGGCTCCACGGGCGCACGGCCCTGACCGGGGCCAGGCTTTGCCAAGAGCCCTGCGTGCAAACTTCCTTGAAAGGAGTTTTGCTCCGGGGGCCGAGGAGAAGCCAGAAGCGCCGCGGGAGCCCAGCGGGATTTGGGAATCCTCCTGCCGCGCGGCTTGCGGAGACACCCCCGCGGAGAGCGGGCGGGCTGCGGGACCGCGGGGCGGGCCGGGGCCGCCCAGGGGCGGGCGGCGGGGGCGGCGCGGAGCCCGTGGGCCGCGCGGAGCGGGGCGCAGCGGAGCCGCGCGGCTCGGCTCGGCCCGGCCCGGCCCGGCCCGGCCCGGCGGGGGCGGTCGGTGCGCGCGGAAGATGGCGGCGGGCAGGCGCGCCCCGCGCACCGGGCTGCTCGAGCTGCGCGGCGCCGGCGGCCACTGGCTCCGCGTGCTGCTCAGCCTGGCCGAGGACGTGCTGGCCGTGAGCCCCGCCGCGGGACCCGGGGCCGGAGCCGGTGCCGGGGAGGCGCCGCCCGCGGCGCAGCTCAACGGCGGCGAGCCCGGCTCCGCCGTGCCCGAGGCGCTCGCCAACATCAGGCGCACGGTGCGCGTCGTCAAGCAGGACGTGGGGGGGCTCGGCATCAGCATCAAAGGTGAGCGCCGGCACCCGCCGGGGCGGCTCCGCGGCCGCGACCTTCCAAGCGGGAAAGCGGCGGAGGCGGCAGCGAGGCCCGCGGGACGGGGGTGTCCGGCGGAGCGACCTGTTGCCTCCTCAAGCCCGCGCTCTGCAGCTCCGCTGTGCCCCCCAGGGCTGCTCTGCACCGGGCGGGAGCTGCGCTGCTGGCACCTCCGTCCATCCCGTCAGCCGCCCCAGCGCAGGCGAGGGAGGGCGAGGTTGGAAGCGGGAGGACAAGGGGGCTCAAGGACGTTTGCAGCCAGCTCAGAGACCAGGCTGCCCCTGGAATTCAGCGCACAGAGCCGGGGGACAGGCCGGCTTTTTGGGGGGGGCACAACCAGGCACAGGGCTTCCCTGTATTTGGAACACTACCGGGGGTGCTCGCAGCTCGTTGCTGGTGGAGCCGCTTCTCCTACTGCAACGCTGGCACTTTCCGGCTAGGGGAGGTGTCTGACGGAGGAGATGGGACGTGCAGGGTACCCGCCTTGCAGAAAAGCGGCCCCTTTGCAGCAAACAGAGGTCTCTGCATGCTTATCCTTGTCTTTTCAGCGATCCCTGGGTCCACTGTGCTGAGAAATATCCCATTTAAGCTGTCAGCAAAATGGAGAAAATGACTGCAGCCCTTGTAAAGTCCTTGGGAGTTTCCAGAAACAGAGTAACGCCTAGGAGACGGGGCGTTAAAATAACACTGGAGCCTGAAGATGTCCGGCCTCAGAGGGCTGAGCAGCAGGGAAACCTTGTTGTCATAATTCGTGTTTTCCTTTCCACTGCTCCCCTCCTGAGCTGCTCAGCTCCTTGGTGACTTTCTGAACTTTAGGCTGGAAACTTCACGGGGCAGGGATTGTGTTTCTTCTTGTGTTTATTTTTCATGCAGCTCCGAGCTTGTTAGAAATTCAGGGAAACAAGGATTAAACAGTCAGCTGCGGGCCAAGGTCCATCCCCGTGTGCGGGGAGGAGAGTTTGTAATTTAATGTAACGGCAGCCTGGTCTGCATGCTTGGTGGCCCACGGGCCGGGGGAGTATGTGAATCTTGTCCCCTGATGTGGCTTTACCTCCTGCTTCTGCTCAGGTCGTACGAGTGCCTGGTGCAAGGAGAGTTTGTGGTGCAGACATCTGCGTGGATGGAGGGGAACGTCAGCTTGCTCCTGCCCTGCTGCTTGCTGCTGCTGCTGCCACGGGATGCCCGAGCTTGCCAGTGTTCCCTTTGGGGTGGTTTAAAACCCTCTTTGTGATAATCCCTTGGCTGCCAAGTTATTGCTAGCTCCATGGCCCTACTAGGAAAGGAGAATGTCACTTGGTTCAGTTAAAACTTCTTTTTTACTTTTTTTTTTTTTTTTTTGGCAGTGAAAAATATGAGGAAAACATGCAGCAGTAATCCCAAATGGGAGCTGTCAACTGTCCCAGCTGGTCATGCAGCTCCAAAGGTGACCACCACCGCTGCTGAGGGCAGTCATTACCCCTCTTAGTGAGGTTGCTGATGCTTCTCAGTTAAAAAGTAATACATTTCTTGTATCTTAACCTCAGGCTTTCCCAGGGAAGCCCATACGAGGGGAGGTGTGAAAGCAGCTTAGTCTTGCAGCTCTCTGCAGGGCAGAAGTGCTCTGAGAGCCCGGCCCCAGCCTGCAGGGCAGCTCGTGTTATCTGAGGACTCCTCGCTGCAGAACACCCGCGTGTCCCGGGGCTGAGGCCACACAAGCGCCTCTTGCTTCTCTCCTTGCAGCCTCGTCCACCTCGTGTTGCTGCCAGCAGTGGCCGGGGTTGGGATGGGGCTGGCACCATGCAGCCCTAGCACCCTTGTTGTGGGCCAGGGTGAGAGGCAGATGGTCGATATGATGCCGAAATGCCTGCCCTTGGTTCCTGGTGTGAAAAACAGCAGTGGTTTGCGCAGCACAAGGGGAAGTGGCCGAGGCTGGTGCTGCCCTTCGCGTCGGGCTGCTCTGGGGATGTATTTGGAGCTTAGGGACTGATACTGCATCTGAGAGCACCAAGGGCACCGGGGCGGCTCCAGGACCCTGGCTGCACTCCTCATCTGTGTCACGAGCTTGCTGAGACCTGGCCGTGGCCCTGCTCCCTGCCCTGGGCTGCATCCCCAGCCCTTGGCTAGAGGCTGTAGCCACGTGTGGGGCCCACTGCTCTTGCAGCTCCCAAGCCCTGCTGAAGGCTTTGCTCTGGAGTTGGCTTCTCAAGACCAGCACATCCAGAGGTGCCCAGGGAGGGTTGGCACTGGGGCTAAATGCCTGGCCTAGCAATGTGTTTTCCATGGAGGAATGAGAGGTGAGCTCCTCATACGACTCCCTTTTCCTCGGGGACAGCCATGGGAAGCCCCCTCGCAGCCTCATCGCACTCCTGTGGTGTCTGGTTCCTCTCCCACCTTTCGATCTGGCTGCTGCTCAGAGGGCTGGGGGTGCCCTTGCAGGAGGCTGCCTGTGTCCTCAGCCCCAGCACGGATCAGGAATCACTGCCATAAGGACATGCTGGTTGCAGAGGCCCCCGCGGAGGCCTCTCTGACAGCTGATAAGTGGAGTCCTCTGCTCCGCGCCAGGTCTGGCAGAGATCTGAGCAAGGAAATGCCTGTGGCAGTGGCCGCAAGCAGCCCCAGGGCGGCCGCCCAGCGCGTTCTGCTCTCGGGCACGCTGCTAAAGCACGAGCTGGGGTCACAATCTGCCTCGGGGACAACCGCTTGTCTCTGCGGGAGAGGCGCTGCTTAGCCCTAGGACATGAGGTGCCCTGCAATCCCAGCGCCGCTCCGTCCCAGTGCGCGGAATGCTCCTCTGCACCAGGGCAGAGATTAAGGATAACTGCTGCTCTGCTGCTCCCGAGCTCTCGGGAGGGAACGCTGCTCGCATCTCCCTGCAGGTTCAAAGTTAACGTGTGAATTGATCTCTGCGCGCTCCAGCGGTGCTCCAACAGCTTCCTCCTAGGCTGGGGAACAGGGAAGAGCAGGTAAATACGGCTTCTCTGTGGAGAGGAGCAAATGTTCCGATTTCTCCTTGCCTTTTTCACTTCTCCAACCATTCAGCTGTCTTATTTGTTTGGGACATGAAGACCTTGGAGCAAAGGTGGTCACTCAGCTCGCGCAATTAATAATGCAGGTAAAAGAGCAGTTTCCCTGTCAAGAGCACGAGTTTGCTCTCAGAGTGGCTACAGGTTCCCTTGCAGTCTTTTGTAGCCCTATAAAGTAGTTTGTCCCTATCCATGCTGAGGTCATCTGAGCTATGGACTAGTCCCAGCAAGGGAGGCCAGCAGCTTGGAAGAGGGATGCACATTTGCCGAGCTTGGCTGATACCCAAGTGCACACAACCCTCGTAATGGCCTTTTCCCTTCTGTTTTAAGGTGGCCGAGAGAACAAGATGCCCATCTTGATATCCAAGATCTTCAAGGGGCTGGCGGCGGATCAGACGGAGGCGCTGTACGTGGGAGATGCCATCCTCTCCGTGAACGGCACCGACCTCTCGGAGGCGACGCACGACGAGGCGGTGCAGGCGCTGAAGAAGACGGGCAAGGAGGTGGTCTTGGAAGGTAGGAGCTGTGGCTGCTCCCGCTCTTGTCGTGGCCCACGTGCTTTCCCAGCTGCTCTTTCCCAGTCGTTGCTCTTTGGGCGCTCTGCAGGCCAGATGTGCGCCGAGAGCTGGAGCCTGAGGGTGGCATGTCCTCTGCGTGCGCATTTCCATAGCCTGTTAAATGAAAGCCAGGCTGTGCAGCCTGGCTTAGCTGCCGGTCTGCAGAGCTGGAAAGCGCTCTTGGGATGTCCCTGCAGAGATGGAGGGAGCGGCTGGCGCTGGTGCCACCCTGGAAGCCCCTCCGGGCTGCATCCCCCATGGCAGCTCTGTGGGTTTTGCAGAACGGTTCATGGAGCGATGCATGAAACTCTGGTTTTCCCGTGATTTTTGGCCACGGCACCTGGTGTGTGTGAGGACAATCCTGGGTGTCAGAGCAGAGCTGGAAGGATGTCTCTGTCCTCCTCATGGGTTGCCTGGGTCTATTCAGGACCATTTCTGTGCTGGAAATGGTTTCCTGCACTGCTGTAGGGCTGTGGATGCCAGAAGGAGGATTTTAGTGCCAGAAGGAGGATTTTAGTTTGGGCAAGTGCCCTGGGCTCCCCAGGCTTGGTCTGGGCAATGGAGGGAGAGCCAGGGAGGCAGAGGGAGCTGTGTCTTCTGCTCCAAGTGCCCTCGTGGTGTTTTCTTTCCTGCTCCTTCCCCACGCTGTATCGCCTCCAAATCTTAATTTTAGCTTCGCTCAGCCCTTTTTTGCCGTGGGTTCCTCCTCTCCTGGGAGCCGCAGAACCACATTTCAGCCTGAGGAATGTGCTGCTCTGCACAGCTGCTGGGAGCCCGGAGCGGCCTTTTTTTTCCTCTTTGACCAAAGAGAAACACAAGAACCTCTTTCTCTCGGAGCCTCTGAAATTCCTTCCTGCAGCCTTGCTGTACCCAGACCACTCTCTCGCCGCTCATTCCTTTTCATCCTGTACTTTGGCTCGTGTTTAGCTCCTGTGGAGGGTCCTGCACGGGGCGAGGATGAACCGTCCTTCCTCCAAGGAGCCGCTTCTCTCCATGGAACTGCTGGGAAACTTGAACTCTCCAGGGCCGAGATGGAGGGAGGGCATTGCATGGATGGTTCCCGTTGCCAAACTCTGGCTACGGATGCCTCCCCATTCCGTCTTTCCTACGCGCCTGGTGCCGGAGGCGGCTCCGTGGGCACTCGCGTGCCGTGTCCCGCTGGGCCATGTCATGCAGCTGAGCACAAACAAGCTGCAGGGTGACAAGGGTGCTGAGGCCAGCGTTATTCCCCGCTGCCCTTGCAAAGGGAGTTTGTTTTGGGCCGTAGGAGGTTTCTCTGGCACCGCGTGCCCGTTCTGCACCGTGGGGCGGTGTCGCGGTGGCTCCTCGTGGGTGGCTGGGGCCAGGCCCAGGGTGCAACCTCCAACACGGGGATGCTGGAACCTGGGTCCTCAGCAACCTCCAACTCCCCCTGCCCCAACTTTGGATTTAACCCCTTTTGCAAATCCAACTTGGGGTTTGCAGTCTCTCTCACATTCACGTTAGCTGTAATCACCCCAAATCTAGTCCTGGAATTCAACACAGGGAGACCAGCTCGAGTGGCTCCTGGGGAGAGCTCTAACCCACGGCGGGGCGAAGCCCTGGCATTAATTTATTCCCCATATCCAGAGCAGTGCTGCCTGCCAGGTTTCTCCCCGGGCTGCCGCGCTTGGCTTGCAGATCCCGGGTGTTGATGCTGGCTGGGCATGATGGCATGCACATGCCTCTCCCTGTGTCCTGCCAAGGCTTTCGGGAGGTGCCAAACTTCTCCCTTGATATTTACGTGAGGAGCCTGCCTGTATTTATGTTACATTGTTATTTTGGGGAGAGTTGCTCTGCCTTACCTTATTTTTCCCTTATTTTTGTCTCTCACTTGGTGTTTGGAGAGCCTCTGTGGTGGGGGGAGAGGCTGGTAAACACCCTCCCAGCTGCCAAGGGAATGGCTTTGGCACCAAGACAGGCAGTTTTTCCAGGAGCAGGTTTTCCAGGAAAGGTCCCTGTGCTGTATCAGCACAAGGAGCGAGCTGCAGGCAGCGGGGGAAAGAGGGACCTGCAGCAGGGTGCATTTTGGCAGACATCTGCCCCATAGGACTGGGGTAGCTCAGCTCTCCTGCTTGCAGCTCCTGGCGCTGCCACGGGTCTCGTTGACTTTTTTGGCCAAGTTATAGCTTGAAAATCAGAATTTCAGGAAAGCTAAAGGGGCAGCAGGGAGACAGCAGAGTGGGTCACTCAGCTTTGGTGCAGGGTCACAGAATCGCACAGTGTTTAAGGTTGGAAGGGACCTCTAGAGATCATCTAGTCCAACCTTCCCGCTCAAGCAGGGACACCTAGAGCATGTGGCACAGGGTGGCATCCAGGCAGGACTTGAAGACCTCAGGGTCAGGTTAAGCTTGGGAAGTGCGGGCAGCTTCTGGTGGCAGAGACATCTGCGGGGTGCAGAACCGAAAATACCCAAAGGGTGGAGTTGGCACCATGGAGGACAATCTGTGACATGAAGTGGAAGGAGGTTTTGAGGTGGTGGCACCCAGGACCTGGCTTCAGCTGCCAGAGCCACGTGCTTGGAGAGGTCCCGTTCCTGCCCTCTCCTCGCTGGGGAGGCTTTGTGGGATGAGCCAAAGGCAGCAATGCTTGAAGGAACATGCAGATCAAGGTTGGCAACCTGGCCCTGCTTTAAAACCAGGCTTTTCTTCCTGCTGGAAGTGGCTCCAAATCAGGAGCCATGGTGCAACATTTCTGCTGAGTGACTCTGGAGTGGTGCTGATGAACAGGGGCAGTGCAGCCCGCCTCTTAAATGGTAATTAAAAAGAAAAAAAAAAGTCCAGTATAAGAATTAACATTGCCAGCAGCAGAGCTGATACATAATACATTCCGAGTCACTTGCTTTAATGAGATGAGTGTAATTAATTAATCCGTTCAGTAGTGGTAGACTATTTTGCTGTAGCAAAAAGACTGGCAGAGGTTTAAGCCTATCCCCTATACAAACAGCAGTGGTGCCGTCAGTAGCCCAGCTCATCTTTGTGCTCCTCTTTGGTGTCGTTGGCTGGTGCACGGCTCATGGTCACCTGGGGTGGCACCGGGATCCTGCCTGGAATTTGCTCCCCTGCAAAGACTTCTCTGTTTCCCCCTGGGAAAACAAATCACTCCCCAGACAGGGCATGGTGGCAACGTTCCCCATCCCAGGCACTTGTCCCGTGCTGCTCTTGCTGTGGCTAGGAGGGCTGTGAACCTCTTTCCCCCGTTGCAGGGTCCGTACTGTCCCGTGCAGATGCCTCCAGCTGGGCTATCAGCCCCATTTGCCTGTCTGTCCTCTCCAAAAGCAGAGCCCCAACCTCATGCTTGATGTATCCCAAGGGACAACTTCTTGTAGAGAGTGCTGGTTTGGTAGCCTGGATGGTGTTTGGTCTAACTGGAGCTAAAGTTAAGCAAAGAACTGCAGCCTTGGCCTTGTCTGGCTGTTCCTTGCAGATGGAGGCACCTTTCTGCAGTGCCCAATACCCCTCGAGATGCTGGCAACACCTGCCCAAGCCAGTTTACATTGCAAAGGCTGCAAAAAAACAGAGCAGAAATTAAGCTGTGCAAATTGTCCCTGGGCAGGGGAGCAGGATGGGCACTGCAATGAGAAGGGACCCGCTAGTGCCAGACATGTCCTGGCGCTTCAGAACCAGCTTGAGGTCCCTTTGGTGTCCTTGTGCCGACCTGACGATGGGATCTGGGTGCTGCCGAGCTAATGCCAGTGACATGTCCCGTGTACCTGGGATGCTACTGGGACAGCTCGTACCTACCAAGCAAGGCTGGACACTGCAGCTTTGCTTACCCCAAGGCCAGCACTACTCGGGGACATACCTCATGTTTCGGAATACAGAACCACGGTTTGAACCATAGGTTGCTCCCAGCAGGTCCCGCTGCCCGGATTAATGCCGCGGGGCCGAATCCCGCCCGGCTCGCATGCCCGGGTGCGAGCGGCGGGGGGCTATTTATACCAGGCGTGCAGCCCTGCGCCGCGTGCAGCCCCGCGCAGTAACCCGAGCCACGTGCGCCAGGGGCAGCGGGACCATTTATAGCCGCGTCCCCGCGCGCACTGCGAGCGGGCACAACCCGCTGCGGTGTCCCCAGCGCGCCCCGACTGCAGCGTGGACCAGGAAAGGGACTGCAACACCTCCCCTGCCCTCGCGCTGCCACCCAGGCAGGGGACATGGGGCTGCCCGGGCATTTTGCAATCCCCTTTGCTCTGCCTGCCTTTGCAATGGGCTCCCCATGTGCTGCACACTCTGCAAAAAGGTTTTTGGCCCATGTCTTGAGAGCCGATGACCTAATTTGGGGGATGTAGCCCTGGGGCCCCGTCAATCGCCAGCAACTTTCACCTCCTCCTTCCCCTAAACCTCCAGAGCTGGGCTCTGGTACAGATGTAGCTCTGAGGGCTCTGGCTCCAGCCCCGCTGGGTGCTTAAGGATAATTTCTTGTCCCTGGTTTGGAGCCGGGGGTTATGTGATCTGCACGAGTGCAGCTGAGGGCTTTTCCTGGGGCCAAGCCATAGTCCTTCGGAGCTATTCCTGCTTTGTTCCCTGTTGGCTGCTGGACTGTCTGTACCAGCACAATTTGGACTGTGTAATTTTGGCTTGGGATTGCTGCCCATTCCCCGCCCCACGCCTCTGTGTGGCTGCCTGGGGGGACCCAATTGGAATTGGATCTGTGAGCTGCTCCAGGTTTAAAAAAAAAAAAAAGAGAGAGGGAGAGAGAGAGGAAAGGGCTATTTTTAACCTGTGTCAATTCCCCGTGGTGCTTTGCAGCGTGGCCAGGTCCTGTGGGATGGGGGCTGCTTCCAGGCAAACATTTCCAGGGTCTTCTTCAGCCTTACGCTGGTGCTGCCCTCTGGGCCAGGCTGCTTCCTGCCTTGGGATGGGGCGCTCCCCATGCAGGAATGGACACTGCGCCGGCACCTTTGGGCCTGCAGGGATCAGTGTGAGGATGCCCATCTCGGCAGATTCTAGGCCTCCAGATGTTGCAACATCTGGAAAGGAAAAAGGGGGAAAGGCCCTGGGGGATGCTGAAAGTCATGTCTGCTGTCTAGCACCCTATGTCATGATCCAGTTTTGGCACAGGATGTGGGAAAAGGACGTGCTGGGCCCAGGGTCCCCACGTGGGTGACGGTTGTCACCTCTCCCAGGAAGTTCTGGTGTCTGCAGGGGCATGGGGAGCCCATTGCGGGTCACCCAGCACCGAGCCCTGAGCCGTGGCCTGTCTCCCCTGCAGTGAAGTACATGAAGGAGATCTCCCCGTACTTCAAGAACTCCTCCACGGGGGCCACTGTCAGCTGGGACCCCTCACCCGCCGCCTCCCATCAGAAGCAGGCATCCCCCGTCCTCTCCCTGCGGGACCTCAAGGACGGCAAGAACCTGCCTTTGAAAATGTGCTATGTGTCCCGCAAGTGTCTCCCGAGCGACCCAGAGCACAGGTAGGACTGGGGGGCTTCCAGGTCTAGAGCCGCCTCTGCTGCCATTGGGGCCATGTGGGGCCAGCCCCCAATGTCCTCCTGCACCCAAGGGTGCAGGACAGCGGTGCAGCACCCAGCAGGCTGTCCCTTCGCAGGTATCTGGAGGTGTGCTCAGCGGATGGGCGCATCACCCTCTTCCTGCGGGCCAAGGATGAGGCCACGGCCCAGTCGTGGTTCAACGCTATCCAGGCCAACGCCAACGGGCTGCTGCCCAGGGTCAAGGAGGAGCTGCGGGCCCAGCTGGCCGGTGTCAGCGTGGCCGGGAGCAAGGATGTCAAGCACGTGGGCTGGCTCACCGAGCAGGTAACCCCATCCCGGGGTGGACATACCCAGGGTGGGCTAAGGCAAGCGGGTTTCTTTGCCCCATGCTGTTGCTCTGGCCGCTCCTCCAGGCTTTGGTCCACCTGAAAATGGATGTTTGGGGGCAGAGCGATGTGGAGCTGACAAGGGAAGTCTCCACAGGGGGATTTGTTCATAAAAACTGCTGGAAATGGCAGCATCCTGCTAACCCTTTGCTTCTCAGCTGCCCAGCGATGGGACGAGGAACGTGCTGGCCATCTTGACCGAAAAGGACCTCCTCTTCTACAACAGCCTCCCGCAGACCCGGGATGCGCTGAGCAAGCCCACACACAACTACCCGCTCATCGCCACCAGGTGGGTGCAAGGCGGGTGTGTGTGCGCACATAGGCAGGCGTGTAGGGTGGGCACAACGCAGCGCGAGGTGTATGTGTATATAGGTATGCGCGATGTCTACGCGACGGTATATAGCACGGTGTATACGTGTCTCCGCGTGTGCGGGCGGGGCCGGGGCCGCCCGATCCGCGGCGTTGTAGCGACCCCTGCCGGCCGCGCCGCGACGCCGCAGGGAGAGCGCGGGGCGGGACCGGCCTTGGAACGGGACCGGGCGCGGAGTGGGACCGGGCGCGGAGCGGGACCGGCCCCGGAGCGGGACAGGGCACGGAGTGGGACCAGCCTTGGAGCGGCACCGGGCGCGGAGCGGGACCGGCCCTGGAGCGGGACCGGCCCTGGAGCGGGACCGGCCCTGGAGCTGGACAGGGCGCGGAGTGGGAGCGGCCTTGGAACGGGACCGGCCTTGGAACGGGACCGGCCCTGGAGCGGGACAGGGCACGGAGTGGGACCAGCCTTGGAGCGGGACCGGGCACGGAGTGGGACCGGGCGCGGAGTGGGACTGGCCCTGGAGCGGGACCAGCCTTGCAGCGGGGCCCAGCGCAGAGCGGGACTGGCCTTGGAACGGGACCGGCCCTGGAGCGGGACAGGGCGCAGAGTGGGACCAGCCTTGCAGCGGGACTGGACGCGGAGCAGGATGGGGCGCGGAGCGGGACAGGTCTTGAAGCGCGACTGGGCACAGGTTCGGGCTCATCTCGGGTGCTGACACCGTGTGGGTGCCGCAGGCTGGTGCACTCGGGGCCCGCCAAGGGCTCCCCGCTCTACGACGCCGAGCTGTCCTTCGCGCTGCGCACGGGCACGCGCCTGGGCGTGCAGACCCACCTCTTCAGCCTGGAGACCCACCGCGACCTGGCCGTGTGGACGCGCATGCTGGTGGACAGCACCCACAGTGCCGCTGAGCTCGTCCAGGAGGTCTCCACAGGTCAGTGGAGGAAAGGCTGAGGACATCCCACTGTGGTTGGCGGGATGCGATGGGATGGCCCCCATGACTAGGCTAAAGGGAGCATGGAGCAACGTGCACAGGTCAACCCTGCTCATGAGCTCTGAGCCAGCCATGGAGTTCAGCTTTGCAGCCCCACAGGGATGCAGAGTGGTGGCGGTGGTGGGAATCCATCATATGGAGGCCCAAATGGTCATGCAAGGGTCTAAAGGTACCCAGCTTGGCCAGCTCCTGGCCACGCAAAAGACCACCCAGGAGGCACTAGGGTTTTGGGGCAGGTGCTGGTGGGACGCATCTGATTCATCCATTTCTTCTCCTTCAGCCTGCACGTGGAATGGGCAGGACTGCACCCTGTCCATCCACATCGACAAAGGCTTCACCATCTTCACCACGGAACCTGGGCTCAGCAAGACAATCCTGCTCCAGCAGCCCTTCGAGAAGCTGCAGATGTCCTCTGATGATGGCACCAAGATGCTCTACTTGGACTTTGGTGGCCCAGAGGGAGAGATTGTGAGTTGGCTTTATCTGAGGCTTCCTTCATGCCTTTGCTCCCCCTGCATTCCTGCTGGGCTTCCTGGGAGGGTAATTGGAGGAGGGCACCAGCACCCTGCCTAGCACCCATCATTCTCAGCAAGCGGGCTGGCTGTCTTCTCCTGGGGCTGTGCTCCTTCCCTCTGTGCTGGTGCTCGTGGTGCTTCGCAGAGGCCCAGTAGAGCCATGGTGGAGTTTGTGAACCTCCCAGTGGTTCCTGGCTCCTTAGCAGCTTCTTCATGGCATGCTGTAGAGCTCTTCCCATCAGGAGGAGAAAGTTGGCTACTCTGATCGAAGCCCTTACCATTGCGCATGTGCCTCCATTCCTTTCTTGCAGCAATTGGACCTTCACTCCTGCCCCAAAACCATTGTCTTCATCATCCACTCATTCCTCTCAGCCAAGGTGACGCGACTTGGGCTGCTGGCGTGAAGATGGAGAAAAGAGCCAGGCAGAGCAGTACCCAACACCTCCACGAGATCTATGCACCTACAACTCCCTCCAGGCCAAACTAAACCAAAAGCCATCCAGATGAGATAATAATCCCCAGGTCATGCCACAACAGCCAAGGAAAACCCTTATCGTCCAGAAAAAACAGCACTGCCGGGGCATCTTCTGGGCAGCTGTGGTCAAAAGCCACTCTCGGACACAGCACCAGGACTTCTCTGGTCCCACGTTCAGCAGCTGCTCGGTTCCCTCCAGCCTCAGACACCGTCACTCGTGGGAAGCTCGGAAAGTCCCCAGTGGAGAGGCCACCCCGGCCAGCCCTGCTATCACTCTAGTGCCTTGAGAGATGATATTTTCTGTACAAAGAATCTGTTTGTATTGATGTTTTATATTTATATAGCCCAGTTAAAGATGCTGATGTGGCCCTGTTTTAAGCCCCGGGAGAGTCCTCAAATACTGCAAAGTGGATGTGTCCACTCTTCTGGACATGCGTCTTGGAAACACAACACCGGAGCCAGCTCCATGCCCATGGAGAAGTGGGAGCTCTGGATGAGCGCTCCCTTTGCCAAGCTACTTGGTGTTGTAGCCAATGACAGAAACCACTTTTCTCTCCCAGATTTGGGTGCTTCGTTTTCTTTTACTAACTCCTGGATCCTTATTTTATTTCTTGGTTTATAAGGGGAGAGTTGTCAGGTGGCTGGTGGGAAACAACTTGTTTTATGAACCAAAAGATCCTGCATGAGGATTGCTGTTTCTTTGGGGAAATAAACATTGCAGATCGCAACCAGTGGGAGCGATCCGTCTCCTGTTTGGCTTGGAGAAATAGGAGCGTGATGGAAGGCAGCTAACCTGGCCTGGGTGTTTCTACCAGGGCACTGAAAGGAGTGAAAAGCTGCTGTTTGGTGGTCTGAGGCAACGCAGTAAGGTAGGGAGGGGTCTCTGTGTTGGGATTCCAGTCTGTGATAAAAGGTCCTTCCACGCCTCAGTTTCCCTTATCCTTGGAGACCCTTGCTCACTCTTTGGCCAATACTAGGTGAAATTAGTTTTGCTTGTCCTTTTGTTTAGCAGAGCACAGGAGGGGATTCAAGATGCGGATGCAACCTTTGGCCCAGGGTCTCAGCTGATGGGCTAACATCTTGTCATCCCTTTCCCAAGATAGATTTTAGATGGAGAGTTTCAGGCGGCTCTTGACAAAGCTGCTTTTATTTCACTCCTGGGGCTCGACAGCTTTGCCCAGTGCTGAGCTTGTGGCCCAGGCACCACACGAAACCAGTGACTGATCTACATTTCCTAGAGCCAGCAGAGGGGCATTCACAGATGTTTCCAGTTGCAGCAAGAATGTATGGAAATCACCAACATCTTGGACAAAACTTGGCAGAATCTGCAGAATCTGGCATCGATTCTTGGCCTTATGTTGCACCTCGTCCTGCTGCTACACAATGTCAGGGAGGTTGGTGTACGGGAGCCTGTGCCTGCAGAGCCTCTGCTCCAGGGAGGCCAGCCCGGAGCAAGGCATTTCCATGTTGTAATGAGACATGGGATTTGAAGGCACTTTCCTAACGGGGGTGGAGATTTGCTCACCCGGCACCTCTAGGTCAGCAGTAAGAGCAGAGCTCTCGAGGAAGCCTCTGCAATGAGGCAGGGACCCGTGTTCACATTGCTGTTAAGTGACAAATTCCGCATTAACCTTTTCCTGCTGTCTTGGCCCCGAGCATGTATGTTGGGGAGGCCAGAGTCTCCTGGGAAAGCAGATTAGAGAGAACTCTCTAAGGCAAATTCTCTGGCTGCCGGCAGTATAATGGCAAATAATTACCTACAAAATATAACGTTATTTTTAATGATAATTCATGTATGCTGTTCCACTGTGTGAACTCGTCCCCAGTGTGACACTAATGTGAGCAGTGGGGTACAGCAGCAGTGTTGCTGGCCGGGCTGCTGACTGCAGTTGGCACCTTTAATGGGCTTATTTTGGAGGAAATTCCAAATTTTGAAGGTTTTTTTTTTTTTCCCCTTAATCAGCTGTGTATGTAAAATGCTGCTATTTGCATGCTCATTAAGTGGAGGCAACACTTCTCATCGAGGAGGCTGCTTTCTGCTAGGTCCCTGCTTTGAGGACACCAGCCGGCTTGTGCAGAGCACCGGGCACAAACTGGAAATTAATCATTTGCTTAAAGAAGAGGAGCAGATGAACCAGAGGATGGGGGCAGTCACGGAGCGAAGGCAAGTCCAGCCTCGACCCAGGAGCCTACAAGCTAGGCAGCCGTAACCTTTCATGCTGGGCAGCTCTGTATTTTTATTGCACATAACTGTCAGGTTTCCAAGAGACTCTGCAGAATGGACTTAAAAAAAAAAAAAAAAAAAAAAAAAAGAAAAAAAGAAAAAAATGTTACTAACTGTTAAATCAATACAACAAGTAATTTAGAAGCAGGTGGTGTATTTTTCTGTGATCAAAAGCATGTCTGCACAAGGAAAAATATTATTACTGCAATTTACCTTCCTGTTCCTGCCCTATGGCCATTAGTCTTTAGGGTTTACTCTGATAAAAGAGAGAATATCTCCCAAGCCAGAGGAGATTTCCTATTAATCTTGCAGACCACAAAGTGGTCGGCTTTACAAGTGCTAGTTGTAAAGGCTGCCCCGATCCGTGCAGGAGCTGGGAAGGGCTTGGCTCACATCGGAGACAACAGACATTTATTTTCTTTGATTTCTCTGAGCAACTCCCTTCCTCTTCTATCCATCTGCTTTATACCAACGATGATGGGTCTGTTTATTTTATGGGATTCTCCCAGGTGGCAGCACCCCAGGGAGCCTCTCCCCAATGCTGCTTTTGCACAGGGGGCTGCAACTGCCCCAAGGTTTAGCTTCATGTTTCAAGAAACCCAAGAGGTACCAAATGCTTTCCCACTGGGCCTAAAATTTTGTCAGCCTAAAATCCTTATTTCCTAAAATTCCTGATTTTCCCGGTTTTGGATCCTGCAGGAATCTGTAGTGCACTCAGACAAGGACAAGCTCTGAATCTTTATGACCTACAGGTTGTTCTGCCAGAGCATTTTCGGGAAAGGTTGAATCGTGACAAGGACATTCCTGTACCATGAAATTAATTTCAAATATCCAAAAATGAGCAAATGGCACCGAATCAGGTTTCTGGAGTTGCCCATGAAGTGATAGGGGGATGTTTGTCCGGAGTGACTGCTGGAAGTTATTGGAGTTCCCATTGGGACCTCGTGGGGCTTTTCCCCAGAAATAACAGCAGCGATGTGGCGTTTTATTGTGCCAACCACTTTTATGGCACAAGGGTGAATATCTTTGAAAGCTGCTCTAAAATACATATAATGAGCTCAGCTTATGTAACCAGACTGACCGTGATGGGCTCGGGTAAAAAGCAGGTTTCCCAAGGTAAGGCAGTCCAAGGCAACTGCAATTTTATTTGGCCACCACAAATTGAAGAGAGCAGGTGAAGCGGGTGTTAAAGGTGCTGTGTGTGGGGAAAAGGATGGAAGAAAGAAAGAGGGAAAAAAAGACTAATTTTGCTAGATAGGCTGAGCTCCTGGGGTGCTGGTAGCCAGAGAGGGGCCAAAATGGGGGGTGAAGTGGAGGAATGGAGACATTTCCACCCAAATACTTTGACGGCAGCCCAAGACGGGCGCAGGAGGGGTTGCCTGTGCAATGTCCTGCCCTTTGGCTTCCCACCAGGAAAGCAAAAGGCCCCAAGGAGGAGCAGGGCAGCTCATTCCTTCCTGTTTCACCCACTGCCACCGCACGTGTCACACACCCAGGGCTCAGCCACTTGCTTAAGGCCATCAGAAGGAAGCCCGAACAAGCTCGCTGCCTTCGGGGCTCATCCTGCCCTACTTGGATGCAAAACAACGGCAGCAAAAGGATGTGGCCTGAAAACAGGGACAATATCCCGACCTGAAAACAGGGACAATATCCCAGCCTGAAACAGTCTTCAGCAGCAGGTCACCTGCACAGCAGAATCCTCAGCCCACAAATACTCTTACATAGACATACATACTCTGCCCTACGTGGCTGAGACCTTGCCATGCTCTACCATGAGTTAAGGTGACATTTGGAGAAATTCATTCAGAATACAGAAAATGCAGGAAAAAAAAAAGAAAAAGGAAGAAAACAAGATATCTAAAGCGTGTGTTGCCACTGCATTTTTGCAGGATTGCTAAGCATAGCTGATACTTTATGGTTCTGCAGGAGAGCTGGGATCAGCATTGGCTTGTGCCGTCGCTGCTGGTCCTGCAGCATCTCCCAAGCAGCAGTGCATGAAGTACTTTGCTCAGAGGAATGAGGCTGCTGCATCTCATGTGCCCGAGTCTCCAGCTGCTGCTTGTGCCGCTGTGTTTTGTTTGCAGTGGCACATGGACAAGTGGGATCGAAGGAGCACGAGGGGGAAGAAGGGGACATTTGGATGCGGTGGAGCTGCAGCGGCAGCGTGGGCAAAGCCCATTTGCAATAGTGTGCTCACACTGGCTGCAAGGGGGCAGGTACCGTCAATGCATTTTATAAATAAACTTGCATTTTATAAATAAATAAAGGCAACATATGCCTAAAGCATTATTTAAAGGCAAGAAGAGGCTTACTCTTCATGTTTCCATCCAAACTCATGTTGCACCTAAAAATTGGTCTTAACAGGTAAACAGCTCTTAAAAGAAGCCCTTGGCCATGGTTTGCCCCATTGTAGTGGTACAAAAACCTGGCAGTGAGTTGGAGAAATTGGGATTCAGCATCCCAGCTCTGACCCATCCACTTTGCTTGGTGCCTCAGTTTCCCATGCTGTAAAATGGGAATATTCCCATTTCCTTCACTGACAAGCCACTTGGAAGTCACAAATAGCAAAGCTGTACATCGCAGCTCTCCATCACTAACTATTCCAAAGTACAAAATGTTTGGGAATAGTTCCTCTGTGTGTGTGTGTGAGGTCCCTTTGGAAGTACAAACACTATGGTGCTCGACTGTGAGAAAAGATTGGAGCAAAAAGTTAAAGGGATATATATATACACATACAATATATCCATTTAATTTCTCTCTGTGTGGTCTAAAGTCGATTAGGTTTTGAGAGGCTCTGGCACAGAGGACAGCTGAATTGACAGTCAGAAGATATAGGCTTATTCTACAGCAAAAAACACCAAAAATTGGAATCCGATTTATAACACCCATTCAAGATACCCAAAGCTGGCAATGGAATTTTATGTATAATGCGGAGGGATACAGATGAGACCTTTGCAGAGTTGCCGTGGTTTTTTTACACTATATATTATCAATGTTGCATGATGTTTGGGGACATTCCTCCCTCCAAGAATTCCTTCCAATAGCACGTGCTTATTTTTGATGGATATTCTCTAGTGTGAACATATCCCCTCACAATAACAATGACCTGTTGTTACAGCGGGCGATAATGGGAATAAAGATCAAATTGGGGAAAAAAAAATGAAACGCTGTAGATCAGGAAAAATAGTAGAATTTCAAACACCCAGAAAGCTCTTGCTCCAGTGAAGGGCAGGTAACCATGGCAACCACAGCCCTCACTGTCACGATAATAAAAAAATATATTATGCCAGGAAAGCTCTTAAAAGGGAAATATGTGTTTTCCTGAGGTGTATGATGAAATATTGGGCAGCAGAGTGAAGGGTGCTATGAGGAGTCCGGGAAGCTGTGCTGTGCTGCTGAAGTGAAGTCTCGGACCACAGCAGCCTCCTGAAAGGGATGTGTGTCCCAGGAGGATGTGATGGATACCTGGGAATCTGTGCCAGGGTCTTGAGACAGCAGCTCCGGGCTCCTGGCACCATCCTGGCAGCTTTCCTGCTTGCAAAGACTTTGATTTTGTTTTGTTTTTGCAAAGAGATTGCTGGAAAATGGTTATCCCAGACAAACTTTTCTCATTGTGGGATTTTTAAAAGAAGCCTGAAAAGCTCATTCCACTTAAGAAAGACTGCTTGAGGTTTGCAGAACATCTTGGAAAGGGGACTGGAGGGATCTGCAGTTTCCCCTACAGGAACAAGGTGGGATATCTGCAATATCCCTCTTAGGATTTTCTCCCTGGCATGTGGCGCGGGGTCTGCCCCTGTGCAGTACCCGGGGGGGACAGCACCCAGCTCCATGGCCTGGGGGGCAGCATCTCTGGGCTGGGGTGTCCAGGTAAGGACCCGGCCCCTCTCCAGGTAATTCCCATGGTCTGGCAGTGTCTGGGTGGGCAACAGGTCCCTGCCGTGGCCACACGCTGCCTCCTGGTCCTACTACAGAGCACCGGGATAGAGTAGTGGGGTGCACATGGCTGGCACTGCTGGGGGCATTGGGAGACCAGCACCAGGTGTGAGGTGTTGTGGGAAATAGGCATCCAAGGCCTCTGGTGCCTCATCCTCACTTTTTTTTTCTTTTTTTTTCTTTTTTTCTTTCTTTTTTCTTTTTTTCTTTTTTCTTTTTTCTTTTTTCTTTTTTCTTTTTTCTTTTTTCTTTTTTCTTTTTTCTTTTTTCTTTTTTCTTTTTTCTTTTTTTCTTTTTCTTTTTTTCTTTTTTTCTTTTCCTTTTTCCTTTTTTCTTTTTTCTTTTTTCTTTTTCCTTTTTTTTTCTTTTTTCTTTTTTCTTTTTTCTTTTTTCTTTTTTCTTTTTTCTTTTTTCTTTTTTCTTTTTTCTTTTTTCCAGCTTCTCTCCCCCATCCTAGCCTCTCCCTCCCCATGGTTTTTCTCCCTGGGGAAGATGCGGAACTCCCCACAGGGAGCTGCCTGCCTGGAGCCTCTCCATATCCCTTAGGACTTTGCCTTTTCCCCATCTGGGCTGACTCACAAGGCGAGCCTGTGCTGTGCTCGACATTAATGGCTTCAAACTAAAACTACCTGGGCAGCAGGACAACACAATGTTCTATGGGTGGGTGCAGGAGGGAGGTGAGTACAAGGAGTTGGGCAGGT